CTCACGGTATCTGCTGCTGACGAGCGTGTTGGAGATGTCCAGGAAACGCAGCTTGGGGAGGTTGCCGAGAGATGGAGGAATGGAACCAGAAAACTTGGTACCACTCAAGTCGAGATACTCCAGGTTTTGAAGGCCGCCGAGAAACGCCGGTATGGACCCTGTGAGCCGGAGGCCGTCCGAGAGATCGAGCGTTTGAAGATTTTTGAGTTTACTCAAGGACGAAGGAATGGAGCCCGTGAACCAGCTTCCTTGGAGATTTAAGATGGTGAGATTCTCGAGGCTGGCGAGGAACGAAGGAATGCTGCCGGCAGACGCATCAGCTCTTTCCAGGATGAGCTTCCTCAAGCTGGTAAGTTTTCCAATAACCGATGGAAACGGTCCTTCGAATCTGTAACCTGACAGATCCAGCGTTTGCAGCGTGGATGCGAGCTGAGCAAGCGACGCTGGCAGTGCTCCGGAGAAGAAGTTGGTGCCCAAGTCGAGAACCTCCAGCCGAAGTAGCTTACCAAAGGTGGAAGGTATCGGACCGTCCATGCTATTGCCGTGGACGTTGAGCGTACGGAGGTGGGAGAGGCTTCCCAGCTCCGGAGACAGCGTACCTGTTAATCCCAGGGACTCCAGCTTGAGCTCGCTCACCCGGCCGCTAGCTCCATCGCATTTGATACCAGACCACTCGCAGCAACTGGATTGCGGGCTCCAAGTGGTAAGTAGCTTGCTTCGATCTTGGTCGGCGTCCTTGAAAGCCAGCAATGCCTTTTCATCTTCACTGTTGCAGGACGCTGCGGTGGTGTGGTGGGCGAGCAGTGAAACTGTCAAAACAAGGAGGAAAGACATACTTGTTCTAGACATTGCGACTAAAACCACGGATCAGTGACGAGGTAAAGTCGCTTGTTGTTTCGTAGGTACTTCTTTGTACTGATCTTATCTACAGGGATGGGGAGTTCTTAATTGCTGTCGGTGTCAGCCACCGTTTTGGACTTCGTTCGTGATGAAAGTACTTGTAGTTTTTTTAGTGTTTTACTCAAGCGTATTGTCGCTTTCGCCGAGTGGTTGGGGTTTCCCCGCGAGAGTTCGAATCTCGCAGGCGACGCAAATCATTTTATGTCATGGCTCTGGGACACAAACCGTTAATTTAGGGTTCTTCCTTTTCATGTCTTAAAGTGGCGATGGCGCGGCAAGCCCGGGAATGGGGTACTTCTCTGACGCGGAGTTGGCTGCCCTCGCTCGATCTGCCACCGATCTGTCACAGGCCAAGCGCGCCCATCTCGCCATTCTCAGGAGTTCGCGCTCGTCAACTAGCCTTTTCCTTAAAAACCATCTTGTCGACATGTACGCAAAATGTGGCAGCCTCCATGACGCCAAGGCCGTCTTCGATTCCATCTATGCGCCGAATCTCCACTCCTGGAACATCCTTCTTGCAGCATATGCCGCAAATGGGCATCTTTTTTATACGAAGCGTGTCTTTGATGGTATGGTCCAGCGGGACGTGGTAACGTGGACAACCATGGTCAAGGCATATTCCGAGAGTGGTTTCTTAGATATGGCCAGGCTAATGTTTGAAAGAATGCCACAGCGGAACGCAGTGTCTTGGAACGTTGTAATAACTGCGTATGCCCAATCAGGGCATATGGAAGAAGCTGAGACTCTCTTCAAAATGATACCTCAAAGGAACGTTGTAACATGGACTACCATGGTGGCGGGCTATGCACAAAACGGAAATTTACCAAAAGCAAGATACACTTTTGACATGGCGCCGGTTAAAAACCTTGTGACGTGGAATACCATGGTAGCAGCATATGCCCAATGTGGGCAGATTGAGCATGCGAGACAGGTGTTTGATTCCATAGTCGATCGTGACGAAATCTCGTGGACCATTATGATCCAGGCATATTCTTTGCTTGGCTACGTAGACGAGGCCGTGAGATTCTTTCACAGAATGACAAGCCGAGACAGGGTCGCTTGGACTACCATGGTACAGGTATATGCGCAGAATGGTTACTATGGCGAGGCAAAGTGGGTGTTTGACTCCATGCCAAATCGCGACGTGGTAGCTTGGACTTACTTGATCCAGGTGTACGGGCAGAACAAGGGTCACGCAGTTGCGAAGGAACTCTTTGACTCGGCACCCGTACGGAACCTGGTAACTTGGAATGCGATGATCCAATGTTATGCCCAAGTTGGGCATGGGACCGTTTTGCTGCCTTTTATGATCCTGGAGGGTTTTGATCCGGATCAAGTGACTTTTAGCATTGTTCTCGGCACTTGCAGTCACTCTGGGTCGCTGGCAACGAGTAGAAGCGTTTTTCTGTCGATGGTGGCGGATCATGGAGTTTGCGTGGAGCTGGAACACTACCGATGTATGATCGACACTGTTGGGCGATCTGGAGACTCTAGGAATGCTCGGGAGCTTGTTGAGAGTATGCCTTACAAGGCTGACAGTTTTGCGTGGACGATCCTTCTCGGGGCTTGTAATGTTAGCGGTGATCCTGTTCAAGAACTTCAGTTTTGTATTTGTATCATATTTTCGTGAAGAATACATCTAAAATTACGTTGCATCCGAAATTTTCTTGAAAACGTAGTAAGAACTTCAGTTTTGTATCATATTTTCGTGAAGGATCCTCTAAAATTTGTCTGCAAACAAAAGTACATAGTAAACGGTTGTCAGCTGGCTCACCCTACTTTTGGGAAACTCTAAAGCTATCCACAAGGACAGAACTTATACGATTATTCACAGTTTTGAATGAGTGCCCGCCTGATAACGTTTTGGCACGGTCTGGCAAGTAAACACAAAGAATTTTTCCGTATTTACCTTTGTTAACTGTTAGTCATGCCCAAGCTGTATTATTGGGTGATTGTATACATTGTTTGCTCTTGGCACAGAGCTTCATTACCAGAAGAGCGCTTGTGCTGCCCAAGGTCAGGATCATGGTATAAGGTTTGAAGGTATGTGATAAGTGGTGTAGAAGATCTTTTCTAATGATGCCTGGGGAGAGATTTGGGATCGGGCAATTGGAATTGGGGTGTGGAAAACCGACCAATGGATGGACAGGAACAGAAATGGCCATGAGAGTGGAAAACATGATTGCATTATACGGACGCAATTGCACAAGTCAAGTGGACTTTCCATTTGTGAGGTTAAAAGGCAGTTAAGGAATTGTTGTGAATGTGAAGATTTTATTGGGACATTGGTTTTGAGATCCATGGACTATTGACAGTTTACAATGACACCATGGGATACTTGCAAATGATCTTAAACCATGCCATAACAAATGCTTCGCTCTATTTCATACGTGAAAGGATCAAGAGGGATATAGTGAAGGGTGGTTAGTATTTGTGACATTGTCAGGTTAAGGTAGGCCTCATTGGTGTTTATTGACATTTAACAGTGTAGAAGTCTATTTAAAACTTGCATTGTGAGTTGCCAGTGTGAGAGGAATTGGCTCGAGGCTTGCAACATCCTGTGCAAGTGCCTTGAGTTGAGTCATCACGTGTGAGAGCTGCTGGCATTGTTTTCTTCGTGTTTGGGGAATCCCCTTGTGCGGCATTTGGGGCTACAGTGTGCTCTAGCCCCTTAATGCCTTCACCACGGGGTTTCTTGTGGCCGGCTGGGGAAATCAAGTGGCTCCAAGAGTTTTATAAGTGCCAGAGTGAGAGTTTGATGCTGGCATCACTTCTTTTCCATGCTGGGACTCTTTTCCTGAGGCTTCTATAAGTTGTGCCACCTTTTGCAGCTGAGCTTATTGAGCTGTCAAGCTGGTGACACATGGGTTAGTTGGGAAGAGTTAGATCGGGTTGAATTTTTTTATAATAAAAATTAAAACCAAGAGTTTAGAAGTGAAAAATCCATAATGTTACCAGGACTGGCTAACTGAGCATGTTTGCCCTAAAATTTCAAATTTGAGGATATTCCACGCATTTAGAGCTCTAGGGTTTGATGCATGGCGAGAGCGGCTTGCCGCAGAGCCCCGGATTGCCGGCGAAGTTCTCCGGATCCATGGTGCTGAGCGGCGCTCCATCGGGTATGGCGCCAGTGAGCTGGTTGTGGGAGACATTCAAGTAGTGCAGGTTCTTGAGCGCCAGGAACTCCACTGGAATGCCGCCGCTCAAGCGGTTCCTGTCCAGGTAGAGGCCCGTGACTTGGCTCAGCTGCGCGAGCTCCGGTGGGATCCTTCCAGTGATGCTGTTGGAGCTCAGCCTCAGTACTGCGACGCTGTCGATTTCGTCTTGGGTCATTGGGATCTTGGAGAACCAGCTCGGGATGGCTCCTGTGAGGTGGGAATGGTCGAGAGTGAGGAAGGAGACTTGGGAGAGTGTGGTCAGTCCCTCGAGAGCCTGAAAGCTGAGATTGTTGTGACCCAGTCCAAGCGAGTAGAGCACTCCTTTTCCCAAGTTGGACAGGTCCGCTGGTACTCCGGTGAGAAAGTTGGAGCTAAAGTCCGAGTTAGTCAGCCTGGGGAGAGTTTCTCCAAAGCTGTCTGGGAGTTTTCCTTGGAGCTTGTTGAATTGGAGGAAGAGATTTGTGAGGTTGGAGTTCCTTCCGAGAGCAGCGGGTATAGTTCCGGTGATGGAGTTGAAGGAGAGGTCGATGAGACACGAAGATCCCAGGGGCTGTTGCTTGAGGTTGATGTTTGCAAACCAGGAAGGTATCGGTCCTTGGAGCTTGCAGCGGCTGAGAGAGATTGTCGAGAGCTCCGGGAGTGTTGCCAGTCCAGAGATGGCGTCAAAGCTTCTGATATCGTTGTTGTCTAAGTAGACACCGTTCAAGTTGACGAGCTTAGCCATGTTGGTGGGAAGTCCAGTGAGGTTGTTCATCGAAAGCTCGAGGACTGTGAGATTCTTGAGGCCTCGAGCAAATCCTTCTGGAACTCGACCGGTCAGCAGGTTTTTGGAGGCCCAAAAGACTTCAAGACTGGAAAGAAGTCCCAGAGATTCAGGAATGCTGCCGCTCAATGAGTTGGACATAACGTCGAGTTTGACAAGTCTGCTAAGTTGGCCGAGAGAGCTCGGTATTTGTCCCGTAAGCCCAGTGCTGGAGACCGAAAGCTCTTCCAGGGAAGAGAGCTGGCCGAAGGAGCTGGGGATGGGACCACGCATACCTGCATTTTGAGACAGCTCCAACACTTTTAGCTTCTTCAGGTTCCCAAGCGTGTCGGGGATTCGTCCAGCGGCTTTGGTGCCGGAGATTCTCAGCGTTTCCAAGCTGGTAAGCTTTCCAATCTCAACAGGTATACTGCTGCTGACGAGCGTGTTGGAAATGTCCAGGAAACGCAGCTTGGGGAGGTTGCCGAGAGATGGAGGAATGGAACCAGAAAACTTGGTACCACTCAAGTCGAGATACTCCAGGTTTTGAAGGCCGCCGAGAAACGCCGGTATGGACCCTGTGAGGCGGAGGCCGTCCGAGAGATCGAGCGTTTGAAGATTTTTGAGTTTACTCAAGGACGAAGGAATGGAGCCCGTGAACCAGCTTCCTTGGAGATTTAAGATGGTGAGATTCTCGAGGTTGGCGAGGAACGAAGGAATGCTGCCGGCAGACGCATCAGCTCTTTCCAGGATGAGCTTCCTCAAGCTGGTAAGCTTTCCAATAACCGATGGAAACGGTCCTTCGAATCTGTAACCTGACAGATCCAGCGTTTGCAGCGTGGATGCGAGCTGAGCAAGCGACGCTGGCAGTGCTCCGGAGAAGAAGTTGGTGCCCAAGTCGAGAACCTCCAGCCGAAGTAGCTTACCAAGGGTGGAAGGTATCGGACCGTCCATGCTATTGCCGTGGACGTTGAGCGTACGGAGGTGGGAGAGGCTTCCCAGCTCCGGAGACAGCGTACCTGTTAATCCCAGGGACTCCAGCTTGAGCTCGCTCACCCGGCCGCTAACTCCATCGCATTTGACACCAGACCACTCGCAGCAACTGGATTGCGGGCTCCAAGTGGTAAGTAGCTTGCTTCGATCTTGGTCGGCGTCCTTGAAAGCCAGCAGTGCCTTTTCATCTTCACTGTTGCAGGACGCCGCGGTGGTGTGGTGGGCGAGCAGTGAAACTGTCAAAACAACAAGGAAAGAGATGCTTGTTCTAGACATTGCGACTAAACAGTGACAAGTCTCTTGTTGCTCGTACTGGGTACTTTTTGTACTGAAAGTCTTGATCTTATCTACAGGGATACGAGTTCTTAATTGCTGTCGGTGTCAGCCATTGTTTTGGACTTTGTTCGTCGATGGCTGTGCACCTTGGAAAATGGTTAGTAGTTTTTATGGGGTTTCTATGGTGTGCTGTTTCTTCTCACATTACCAATGGAACGCGCGGGAGTTGGAATCTCACTCTTTTGTTCTTACCATTCTTGAGGTACTCATAACTTTTTCTGTCATTGCAGTCGCCATTTCTTGGCCTTTGTGTTCGATTGCTGGCAACGTCAGAAACAATTGGTGGCCTGGAGGTTATCTTTTAGTTCCAAGTTCAATGGTTCTTCCTTGCATTAATTTACAACTCACAAGGTATGGCCAAGAAAAAATTATATGTTGACAATTTGAACAACGTAGTGTCGCTTTGGCCGAGTGGTTAAGGCGTGTGCCTGCTAAGTACATGGGGTTTCCCCGCGAGAGTTCGAATCTCTCAGGCGACGCAATCGTTCTGTTAATTGTTTCATCTTTTTCCCAAGTTTCTTGGAGTGGAGACAGTGAGCGATAGTTCTCACTTTAAGATCAAGCCCTCGTCTCTTACGCGGAGTTGGCTGCCCTTGGCTGAATGGGCATCTTTCGGATATGAAGCGTATCTTTGGAATGGTCCAGCGGGGACAACTATGGTGAAAGCGTATTCAGAGAATGTTTGCTTAGAGATAGCCAGGCTAGTGTTTGAAAGGGTATAATAACTGCATATGCCCAATCAGGGCATATTGAAGACGATGAACTTCTTTTCAAAAACATACCACAAAGTAGCTTTGTAACGTCGACTACTAGCTATGCACAAAACGGCATTATAGAGAAATCACGACACTCGTTTGACGTGGCGCGGGTGGAAAACCTTGACGTGGAATGTCATGATAGCAGCATATGCCCAGAAAACTGGGCAAATGACCATTATGATCCAAGCATATTAGACTCTTCCACAGAATGACAAGGCGAGACAGGGTCGCTTGGACTACCATGGTACAGGTATATGCGCAGAATGGTTACTATGACGAGGCAAAGTGGGTGTTTGACCCCATGCCAAATCGCGACGTGGTAGCTTGGACTTACTTGATCCAGGTGTACGGGCAGAACAAGGGTCACGCCGTTGCGAAGGAACGGAACATACATGACATGGTAACTTGGACATGAGACCATGTTGCTGCCTTGTATGATCCTGGAATTTGATCCGGATCAGGTGGGGACTTTTAGCATTGTTCTTGGCACCTATAGTCACTCTGGATCCCTAGCAGCGGAGCTTGTTGAGAGTATGCCTTACAAGGCTGATAGTTTTGCGTGGACGATCCTTCTCGGGGCTTGTAATGCTAGCGGTGATCCTGTTCAAGGCTTGCTAAACAGTCATCGATGGTCAACAGGTTTCTAGCTCTGGCCCTTACGTGACTTTCTTTAAAACGTAGTAAGAACTTGAGTTTTGTCACATTTTCGCGGAGGATAGATCCGGAAAACTTTGGCAGGGTAGCAGCGTTTGTCTGCGAACTAAAATACAGGTAAACGGTTGTCAGCGGAATAGGGACGGCTGACCCTAGACACTCCACGGCTTTTGGAAACTCGAAGAAACTCCACGGGAAAAATCAAGCTATTCAAGAGGCCAGCTCCTTTGGATGATCACAACCTCTGGGTTTGGGGTAGCCAACTTGTCATTCTCCCAAGACTCTTCCAGGGTATTTCCTAATGAATGCCCCTTAGGTACGGTCTGGCAAAGGGAAAAATTTGATAATATTTAAATGGAAGCACTTTATCGTACTTTTACCCATGTCTTTTGTAATCGTACCCAACCGTAAGGTCGTATACTTTGTCTCAGACGTGCACATTGGTGTTGGAGACCAGACAAGAGCTCATCTATTATGTGTTTGGTTGAAATCCTAATATAAATTCATATATTCCATTTTATTTGGAGTATGTTTCCAAAACGACTTACAAGTAAAAAATGCGGGCAATCTGCGTCACTATGACATGCATTGATTTTTTGCTGCCACGTCTGCCATGATATAATGGGACCGCCTGAAATTTCCGCCACCTTTCTTCTTTTGTCCAACTCCACCTCTCCTTTTATAATTTTACGTGAAAGCCTAATCGGGGTTTCTTAAATAACCGTTGGCATTTATATACAAGAGTGGCTCTTGTGCGTAAATATTCTCCTCTCTTCCTCTCTTCCCTCTATTAGATTATCGATCTGGAGCCCTCTAGAGCGAGCAATCCCACCTCTAGAACTCATCGCAAATGGCATCGCGATCGAGGAAGCCCACTCTCGAGCTCCAGATCCCAGCGCCCGACGAGAATCCCATGCTGCTCCCACTGATCGATTTCAACTGGCACTTCCAGTCGATCGTGTCGCCCAGCGGCAGCTCCAGCGCCTCCCAATCGCCGGTTCTCAGCCCGCGGGGATCGAGCGAGCAGTCCGAGGAGGAGTGCCTGCGCGACGAGTTCTTGCGCGTCTTCCAGGCGATTGACGAGAATGGCGATGGGCTCATCAGCAAGGAAGAGGTGGGCAAGCTCATGGCGAAGCTGGGCCACGGGATGAGCGATTCCGACCTGGAGCTCCTCATGCTCACCGTCGATCTCAACGGCGATGGATGCGTGGATTTCGAGGAGTTCCAGGCCCTGTACATTACGAGCGTGGAAGGCGGGCGCATCGACGGCGGTGGAGGCGTCGGCGGCGGCGGTGGCGACGGTGGCGATGGCGCGGAATCCTCCGACTCTTCTTCTTCTTCTTCCTTTTCCTCTCTGGCGAATCCCCGCGGCGAGGAGGACGAGGAGGAGAATCTGAGGGATGCGTTCCGGGTGTTCGACCAGAATGGCGATGGATTCATCACCGCCGAGGAACTCCACCGCGTGCTCTCCCGCCTGGGATTCATCCAGGGCGCGCGCAGCATTGCCGCTTGCAAGAACATGATCCGGGGGGTGGATTCCAACGGCGATGGGCTGGTCGATTTCCTGGAATTTAAAAACATGATGCTGGAGCGCCCATCGCCCAGATCCTACTTCGCGACCATGATCGAGGCGAACTGACAGTTCACGTACGGCAAGATTATGCCCCAGGTAATATACGCATATGCTTGATTTTGAATAGAAGCCATTGTATGGTAGAGGGACTTCCCCTTGACAAAACTCGCAGTAGTTCTATGACGTAAATGTACAATTTTTTTTTTCAGTGTTCTTGCCCGTTAGTTTTGTTCGTCGCTTGCCATCGCGTGAATCTATGCTGCGCTTAAAAATCCCATCCCACCAATTCGATCGAAGGCCTCTCTCCCTCCAAAGTTTCAAGCTTCCGAGAAGAAAATAACGCTGCTTATCACTCACCTATGGACGGGAGGCCACTTTTCCCCACTTTCTCGAGCTCGGCTCGGCCCTCCTCGCTCAAGGACTCCCTCCACTTCTTGCTCACCTGGGACGAAACGTAAACATCGTTAGCGCTTGCGTGGTTCTGTCTAAACGAGAAAAGGAGAGCTTTGGACGATGGATTTTACCGAAAGCCGCTCGAGCTGCTGGTTCATGGACTGGCGGTGGATTGAAAGATTAACATTTGCTGCTCTGTGGCGTTCCTGAGCATGCTGTCTCGACTCTAGCAGCCGTCGCACTCTATCGGTCTCCGCCTCGATTTTCTGGAGGATTTGCATCCTCTGGAGAGCCTGTTTTTGGATCCAAACAAGAACATCAGTGTTGAGAGAAGGGCCCAAGGATTTGAAAAGAAGAGAAAAGAGAGACCTTGACACGTTTGATGTTTTCAACTCTCGTTGTCTTGTCCTCAAACTCGATTTGATGCTCGACGGCTCTACGCGCATTGGCCAGTTTCTTTTGCATGATGAAGTTTTGTAATATCATATCAGCTTCATGAGCCTTGGCTAGGAGTTCCTGTGCGGGCAAACAGAAAAGTTTCTTCGGAGTGAAAGAAGTAAAAAACATGTCCCGTACCTGAACTCTCCGTTCACGCTCGTTCTGGGCTTCTCTGATAACTTCCTGTCGCTGCTGTTCCTTCATTTCTTCCTTTCGCCTCTTCTCGGCCTCTAGTTGCCTGTGCCTCTCCTCTTGCATCTTGAGCTTTATCCTCAGTTCCTGGAAGTGGCAAAGACGTTAGCACAAACATCGGCAGTGGTGCTATCAGTAAAATCGAGCAATAATTCAGCCATCTGACGATCCAGCCCAGTAGCAGTACTCACTTCCTGCTTGTGCTCATAGTCCGACTGTCGCTTGGCAAGTTGATGAGCGAAGTTTTCGACGACTTGCTGGTGGCGTTCCTCGGCCAGCCGGCGAGCCTCTGCATTTGCTGCTTGCCTTTCCTTATTTTGTTGCTCCATCACCCGCTGCCTTTCCTGATCTTTCCTCACCATGTCCTCCTGTCTCTTCCTCAATACCTGCAAAAGAGCAAAAGTTACACACAACTACATGCAGAAAAATGGTACAGACCTCCTGCTGAGCTTCCTGTATCCTTTCAAGCTGCCGTCGGAATTCCTCCTGTTTTTGCTGTCTCTCTTGCTCTTTCCGCACTGCTTCACGTTGTAGTTGTTTCTGGAGATTAAACAAGCGTTAGGAACCCATGCATCGAAAACGCAGTCTACGCACCTGACGTTCAGCTTCTATCTGCATTTGCTGCTGTTCACGAGCATATCTCTCCGCAGCCATCTGCCTGCTCCTCTTTTCCAACGCTTCTTCCTGCGCCAAAGAAAGAATAAGTATGTCTGTGTGTAAGGAGATAACTATCGAGTTTTTCATACCTCCTTGACCTTCTCAA